CATATATATATATATATATATATATGTATATATATATATATGCCTCACAAAGGGATTGAACCTTACCACAACTTGTGTGACGGCTTGTGTGACTCCGTGAGCCAGTGGGCTATTCTGGGTGGTGTCCATGTGACACTCACAGAGAGTCGCCGCCAGTTGGCCACCTGTTGGCTCCAATCCGAACTGCTGACCTTCAACGGAATTGTGGGCTGTGGACATGAAACTCCCGTCAGCCTGAGAAGTGTGTATATCTACTCAGGCGTCATCGTGCTCTTGGCTTTGACTATCTTTCACTTGCTCTGTTCAAGAATGGCGGTGGATTTCTCAGTCTCTGCCTATTTGTGCAACTCCGGAATAAAGTGTTCGTTCCAGATAACTGGGACAATTCAACAGAAGTGCCAATTTTCGAAAAAGGATGCTTACAGTGAATGCAGTAACCATAGAGATGTTAGTTTGACTCCCATTGTAACAAGACTTCTGGCGCCACAGAATTTTCTTCGTTTAACAGCGGCACGCAAAACTTTCACCTGTGAGCACCAAGAGGGATTTCAACTGGGTAGAGGCTCCGCCGACCACATGTTCACACTCAGAAACGCCAGACGTACAGAAAACAGTCTTGATATTACTTGGCTTGAGTCGTGCATTTTGACCTGCCGATTGATCGGAACACGCTTGCTCAATGTGGTATGCCCCACAAGTTCGTGAACATGATCCAATCCCTTTATTTACATACTTCTGGGCGGGTGAGGGCGTATGGTGAGCTCTCCAAAAGCTTCCCTACAAAAAGTGGTGTCAGACAAGGATGTCCACTCTCCCCATTATTGTTCAATTCTTCATCGATGAAATAATGAGGCGAACACTGGACGGTTTTCAAAACCCCGGTGTTCAAGCTGTTGCTGGCGAGAGCCTTGTCGATCTGGAGTTAGCAGATGATATTGCCGTCATCTTTGAATACCATGGCTAAGCACAAGCCCTGTTGAATAAACTGACCACCATCATACCATCATTTGGAATGCGCCTTGCTCCTCCAAAGTGCAAAGTCATGCTTCATAACGTGCAGTCTCTGAATATTCCCCTTGCCATTCAAGGAGAATCACAAGGGGTTGTAGAGAACCTTACATGCGTCAGTAGTTGGATTATGTCCGACGGAAACGTCTGACAAAGTCACTGCACGCAACTCAAAGGCAGATATCCCGTCTGCGGATCTGCGTCACGTGTGGCGTCAAAAAGCATATCACTGGGCCTTAGGGATTGCATCTACTGGACTAAAGTAAGGGCCATATCGTTGTACGTTTTCGAGAAGTGGCTTCTGTGGACAGACGGAGTGAGACGTCTTCAGATCTTTTACCAAAAATGCCTCAAATGCTTTGCTGCTATCGGCGAATTTGTAACGAGGTAATTAGAAGACGAGCATTTGCTTGCGCAGCAGGTACTTTATTCGTGCAAAACATTCAACACGATCAGCTCCGTTGGATTGACAATGTGCTACACATGCGGAAACACTATCCACCAAGACGAGTATTGTTCTTCGTGCTTTCTTCAGAAAGGTGAAAACCGAGAGATGGATATCGTATGACTTGTCAAAGAGTGTGAAGGCACTGGTGTGGGTGGAATTGGTGTTGTACGCGATTCAGGATGGAGTCCCCGTGACCCCCGCCCGCTGCGCTTGACTGGGGATATTGCTGGAAATATCATGAACGGTGTCAATGATGTTCCAGATTGTCTGACTGAGCCCTATGATGTTTAGGCATTTCAGGATGCCTGCGTTAGGCGATCACCACGTCACATTATACACTCTTTTCTCTGCTCATCATTCTGAGGTTTTAAATACTACTAGATAAACTGTATGGATGTAAGGCAATAAAGCATCATTATCAACAATATTGCTGGTGTCTCTGATGATAATGCTGATGATGATGATATTTATTAACCTATTTTTCTTTGTTTTACTGTCTTGAATAGACGGATATTCCAAGTCCATTCCTCATCTACCTTGTTCTGTTGTTTCCTGCTGTTTCCTGTAGTGGGTCATGTTCTAATAACACTCCAACCAGCTCCACGATTTGTGTACGTACTACTGAAGATATATGTTTTTTACTAGGTGAAGGACACCACGAGTGAGGTGTATTTGTCACGAGGAATCTACATTTGATTTAGTTTCTTAAAGCTCAAAAAGAGTTGACTTCTAGATAGGATAAAACTTGCTGCACTTAATACATGCTGAGAAACTGAAGAACCAATCAGCAGAAGTCCATTACACACGGTTTTTCATCAGTTGAGTATTATTACTAGTAGCATCACTAGTGCACGAGTCTTCAGGTTGAAGTGCTCACAGTACGATGTGATCGTCCGTTGTGCATCCGTATCAGGCTGAAATTTTCCATTTCTTTTAGGGGAAAATATGGCTTCGCTTGGAGAACAATCGAATGACATCCCGTCTGTCGGCCAACATGTGTTATGTCATATGCGACAGAAATTCTGGACCATGAAATCGTCACCCTTCGTAAATGTATATAGATCAGTTCACCAAGACATTAGACAGGAAGGCACCATCCGGGGCAGCTGCATCCTTTAGCATCCACCTAACATGAAGTCCCTTTGAATTTCAGAAGTGATTATGCTGAGGTAAACTGCTTGACTGTCGTTTATTGTGATCACCAGTTTCTGTCTTTGTGGAATTTTGGGGTCTCTTTAATAGAAAACCTTTCAGGACCAGCAGTATTCTGCGAAGGATTGAAACGAATTCGCAGGACCCATATTTAGGAATCCATAAATCGTTACTGGATAAAGTACTAAAAATAAGTTGTGGTACACAAACCGAGACCCGCAGATTTCGGTTGCTACCGTGTATAGTCCAGAAAATAATATTCGACCCACAGAACGAAAGCAGTTGTTGAACGAAGAGCTGGTCAATGAGACACTTGGTTCTTTCGAATACAACTATACTCTGAAATTGGAATAAATGAAATTTCGTGAATACACAAGCCATTCAGAATGTTGTGCTTATGAACCTTTCTTGCCAGCGCGACGTCTGTCTTCTTAGAAGCAAAACCATTCAGCTATCTCCGAAATTAATGAGCAGCGAGACGTATCTGCCACTTGGATGGAAAAAGGCCATTGTAAACTGCAGACGGTGGTAATTTTTCTCGCCTCAACTAATGGATTCGTTTTCTACGTGTACGTAAACCTGGTTGAGGATGCTTGCCTCAGGGTGTATAAATCTGTGTAAATTGTCCACCGGCCGTGTTAAATGTACACGTATTTAGCTATGCCGGTGAGAAAAATGCTATCGGAATGGACGAAGGTTGTACCTAGGTAAGAATGCGCTGTTGCTCTTCGCCCGAGGAAGCTGAGGTGAAATAGTGGTTGTTGCTGTGTTGAAAAGTGCTGACATGCGACAAGATATCACGTCACCAGGATTTGGAAATTCGCTGTTGGTAAACAAGGTCCAAAGTATAGTAAAATTCCTTCCTCTTATGTGCTTTTAGGGAGAAAGAACACACATGAAAAGCTGGCAAATTTTGTGCGAAATACCCCATGATGCAGAATTCTTAACTGCTCTTGCAAGGTGAGCCTAAGGGACGTATGTAAACCTTGGTATGATGGTTTAACGAGATGAATTTGACGGTATCATTCTTCCCCACAGAAATTCACTTTAGCCAGCTTATGTGTACTTCTAGAATCCAAAAGTTAATTTGATGCTCCTGTTGGCCCATTTTTTGCCCAGGTATTTCCAACCCGACTGGGTAACTACTCTTTGCAAATAAAGTTCATTAAAGCTGAAAAACTAAGGAGCACCGTTCACCCGTTTCATAGCCTCGGAATTTATCATTGTATGAATTTCTACGGTGGTTGAACCCCATCAGACCGTCCGGTTAGTGTTCACAGCGCCAGTTCGGGTGCAGCGACCACACATCTGTGCTTGTTAAATCTGAGTCGTGTTTTTATTTCAAAATGTGTGAGGGTATGTTCGACCACTAGATGAACGCTCAAAGTAAAACTAAACTAAGCAATTCGCTGGGAACTAACTTTGGCCTCTTTAAAAATATTATCGTATTTCTTATTTGGGTCTGCATTAGTCCGTGGTATGGGTCCGCATCGCGATGGGTTCAGAAAGGGTATAGAAGTCTTTTGCGATGCTGCAGTATACCCCAGAGTACATCCTCATATGGATGAACACGTTGACAGAAGAGAACGGGACACATAATCCTTGAAATCCGCTGATACACCGCTTCAACGTCGTTCTACTGAGAGCTGAATTTGAGCCCAGCTTCACTTTCCCATTTTTGGAGAAAGTGGAGCACTTGTGATCATTTGCACAATTTATTGGGCAGGCTTATTG